CGGTGTTCTTCGGAGGGGATTTTGAATATCTCTCTTTAATCCATTCATGAATCAGTAAATGTTGTCAACAGCCAGAAGTTTTAAACAATAAAACACCACATAAATCTGGATGTTAATAACACAAATGGGCTGGCCAAGTATAAAAGTGAGGTTTCCAAAGTTATCGAGCTGTCAGCATAGCCGATCTTTAAATAAGGTTCCACTTTGCTTTGAAACAAACAGAAGATTTGAGTTAAGTTTTTCATTGTGATCGGTCTGCAGGACAAAAACCTTTGATCTCTGATATCAGCCATAGCTCTTTTTAAAAAGCTGCTCATTTAGCAGCAGATGTGGACATTTTAGCCAAGTGCCTCTTTTTTTTTCTCTACATGAACTTGACAAGTTCACTTTAATCAGAAACTGAGACTCAGTCTACCTGTACTGAACTCTTTCAGTGTGACAACCCCATATAACTTTCTACTCAATTTCCCAGAAACCCGATCTACTACGAATACGTACAAACATACATTCCTCCTAATCTTGCTCCATCTTTCTTTCTCTCCACTGTCTCTTGCATTTTAGTTGCCTTACATATCACATATCGGGCAGAGGAGAGCAACTCTATCCGCCCATTTAACTTCATTGCAGACACTCTGGCTGTCACAATCCTCTTGGTTGTTGAAAAAAAAAAGGTGGAAGATGGGGAGGCCGTTGGAAAAGGGAGCCTGTTTTCTTCATCAGCCTTAACCTTGAGAAAGAGATTAGGGGAAGTCTAGGTCATCAAATCTCAAGAGCTTCTGGTTCACCTCAGACAAACTTTGCTTTTGTCTGCCAGAAAGGGAGCAGTGTTTAAAGCCTCAAACAAGGACCATTATTATCACAATCTGAAACTTTTCCATCTAAGATTTACTGGCAGACGGAAGTGCTTTTTGGATTTGCCTTCTTTATACAAACTTGTGAGTTGCAAATGCTATAACATGCCCGCACAGCTAAATGAAAAAGCCACAAACTGTAACGAATTCAAGAACTGAAATACTGATAAGTTAAAAAAAAAAATTCCCCTTCCCCACAATTTCCTTACTTACGTCTACTGGTGTTTAGCCATGCTGACATACTTTTATTTGTACAACTTTCTGAAACATCTTTAAGATATGTGCTATCATCTGAATGCAATAAATCCATTCAATTATGCAATTCAGGATTGTGGAGGGAATTAATCATATCCCAGCTGTCATCAGGCAGAAGGTGGAGCACACCCTGAACATATCACAAGTCTACTGCAGGACTAACACAGAACAAAAGATAACCATTCATACCTATTGACATTTTAAAATCATGGGTTAATTTAACATTCATGTCTTTGGACTCCAGGACAAAGACAGAGTACACAGTGAGAACATCTAAACTGCACTCAGAACAGACCATGCCTGGATTTTTTTAAATCCAGGACCTTCACACTGTGAGGTGATGGTGCCAACCAATACATCCCCTAATGTCCCTAATGTCATAGTCTTCAAAACATTGATATTAAGTATTCTACCATTTTCCTCAACTCCATTTCATGCTAAATATACTGACTGTAGTAAGAAGTGCATCTGTGATAAACTCCAAGTTGTTTTTGGACATTAATGACAACATAATTGGTGATTTTACACTTATGGAAATGATGTATTATGGAATGGGTGTCCTTCTGAATATCCACACACTCAACATCAGCAAATATATTTTGACTTAAATCAACAGCAAGCTTTTCCTGGAAGTTTTCCAACGCTTGGCGAAGGTGTGTTGGTGGCCAGGGAAGGAACGTGCCATCCGGTTGTTGCAAGTGGCTGCCATCAGTCTCTCCAGAAGACCATCACAGCAACTTTCATGGGGCAAATGGGGCTGGAGGACCAGTCCTCTGCCTAAACCAGGTGGCTGCAGCCTGGCCCCACACTTAGAAAGGCTGGATTGCTGAAAATGGTAGTGCTAGAGAAATTTGTGGGGGGGGGCTACCGGCCAGGACAGTGAAGTGAGTCTGCTATCACTAGCCGGTGAACCTCGAAACTGCCATCACCCTGGCCAAAGACCAGCTGGCGACCTGTCCGGCTCAGTCATGGATATTCACAAATACCCCATAGTACTGGTGGAAATGAAAGATCGGGGGGAAATGCATAGAGTAACGGCTGCGGTTAGCTGGCGGCTAGCATACCCCTTAAATCTCAAAACTGATTCGTTGGGGTTTGGTAGCTCAATAGGGCAGTATGCTGGGCTGCACACACAGCCAATAGGGACACGTGGCGTTTGGGCCGCGTTCAGCTTGCCGGTTCCAGCAATTCGCTACACAGAAGATAATGGCACTATGCAATTCGCCCTTTGATCAAATGATGAGAGCTGATAGTCAAATAGTGCGCCCTGACATTTCCACATTTTGTAACGACAGACCATGTTGAGCGTGTCGTGACACTTGTAAAATGGAAGAACACATCTACTTGTTGGTCGCAGAAGAGCCACTGAGAAATGATTTTTTTAGGTGGCTCGTTACAACTCGATGGCTGGTCACCTGGAATAAGATAAGACTCTGGACCCAAAAATTGACCGATTTTACTGGCCAAGAATCTGTTTGGATGTGCGCTGATGTTGTGCGTCCAGTGGTGTCAGCTGGTGAACCAGCTGGCCATTCCAAAAGTGCCTTTATGCCCTTACTGCCCTTAATGGAGGTACCATTTGAGCACATTGGCATGGACCTCATCTGACCATTTTATCGACGAGAAAAAGTAAATCTTTCGTTCAGCTGTTGTTAACTGATCTTGACTTTGTTAATTAAACGTTGTAAACCTGCTTTCAGTGTGTCCTGTACATGAGTTCTTTCAGTAAACCACAGCACGGTGTGTTTTTTGAGCTGATGAAGTTAAGCCAAAACAAGAAACATGCAGCAGGAGACAGTAACTTGTTAAAATGTTTGTGGCGAGAATAAGGCACGGCGGGACCACGGAGTATCATTCGGAGCCATCTTTATTTACATCTCACCACAACAATCCCCAAACCCTCGAGTCCCCGTGTTTTTAACTAGGCGGGCGTGATTAAGGATGCCGTGCAGGTGCGTCCGCCCTCCCTGCACGGCACCGCAGACCACGCCCCACCACATACCCCCATCGCCTGATTGAGGCTGGGGAGCCATCCGGCCGAACCTACTCCCCCACCGCCAGTGGGAGAGGGAATCAGCCCGGACAGCTGGCGCCCCAGGCCCCGGCCAAGCGACGGGGAGGTGCGAGTTCAGGTGGCCGCCCGCGAATCCAGCGGTGCAGGCCAAGCTGGTTCGGAAGTCGGACGCGTGGCGTGTGCACCCGGCGCGGCCGGCACAGTCGTGAGCCCCAGCTCACAGGTGGCTGGGCAGAGGTGTGGCGTGTACTGGCCTCTGGTGGTGGTGAGGCCGATCTGGTGAGCACGGCGATCTCAAGCGTGGCACACGCCTCGCTCGCCAGTTCCACTCGAGCAGGCTCCCCTGGCACGGGGACCTCCAGCTCCTTGCGCGGTCCATCCGTCACTGCCGTCGCTCCCCGCTGGAGCAGCCCATCGCGCGACTCCTCCGTCACTACTACTCCCTCCGCCGCCGCCTGCTCCCGCTGGGCGGCCGCCATTTCGGCCACCATCTGGGCCAGCTCCTCCATTCCCTGGCTCCGATACGGACCCGCCGTGCTGCCTCCTGGGTTTCGGCACCAATGTGGCGAGAATAAGGCACGGCGGGACCACGGAGTATCATTCGGAGCCATCTTTATTTACATCTCACCACAACAATCCCCAAACCCCTGAGTCCCCGTGTTTTTAACTAGGCGGGCGTGATTAAGGATGCCGTGCAGGTGCGTCCGCCCTCCCTGCACGGCACCGCAGACCACGCCCCACCACAATGTTATAAAAGGTACAATTAAAGATTTTCATGGATTTTTCAAGGATAAATGTCTAATTTGATCAAAAGTTCTATATGCCATTTCTGGAGAGAGTGCAGTGGAAATGTTGTCACTTTTGGACTTTGCTACTTGCAGCTAAACATTTGCAGCTAAATAATGTATAATGTAAGCAGAAACTGCAACTGAATGAGGGAATATTTGTCTAAAAACTTAAACTGAACTAGAAGGGTACCAGTGCTCCAGCTTACCATCTTTACCTGAGTAAATCTGTTTGTTGAACAATCTAAATGGTTGATTCAGAAACTTCTGTGACATCAACTTAACTGAGACTCATTACAAATTTCACAAAACACAGTTGAATACTTAGTTAATTAGTTTTTATTAGTTATTTTTGTTTTTGTTGTTCCGTTAATTTTAATAAAAAATAAATAAATAAGTAAATAATTGTCATGGTCCCCGTGCCTGCCCAGCCGGCCTCACAAGGCTACACTTGTGTTTTTTTTCTCTTTCTCCCCCTATCTCTCTGCCTGGGCGGAGCTCACAGCTGGCTCCCGCCCTTGGCTCTCACAGCTGTTGGCGATCAGCTGATTATCCGTCTTCTATTTGAGGCTGGGTCACAGATCCTCTCATCGCGGGATGATTGCGCTACTGACGTTAGTCTACCTTTCCAGCTCCCGTGGTCTTACACCTTTATGCCTTCGTGATTTGTGAGTGATATCTCCCTTTCCCTGTTCCAGCTTATCTTCCCGGACCTGTGACCTCCCCGCGGTACGAACGTGTGTGAGGACGTGAGCGAGCGTGAGAGAGAGAGAGCCTTCCCCTAATCCCCTGGAACCCTGAATTTCCCGTCACTGTATATATTATTGCACGGGTGTGTAAATAAATTGTGTTTTGAGACATCAACCTGCTCTGCGCTTGAGTCCCTGCTTTCAGCCCGTGACAATAATATCTTTATTTTATTTTATTATTAATTTATTTGTTGTTCCCAGAGAGCAAGCCAAACACTGGTCCTGACTATCTCTAGTAGTGGTGCACTACTAGTGAATGACCGGTGAATGTGGGGCGACGGTGGCAAGAAAAAACTCCCTCCTGGAGGAAGAAATCTTGGGAGGAACCAGGCTCTCTGGGAGGACCCTTCCTCCTAAGGGCAATACTTACCAGCGGTCTGAGACGACGGTTGTTCCTTCTCAGCACGATGATGGCTCTAACTTGCTTCCACACCCTGTTTTAGAATGAAGAGAAAAATGATTAACAAGGTAATAGGACATTTCAAAATTCTCTCAGCTGCTGTGTCTTCTTACGTTTCTCTTGTAAAACAGGATGTAGGCAGACTGCTGCTGTTCCTCAAAAACTGCCGATCCAGTTGTGTGGAGCACCCGTGCATCATTATAGGTGAGCCAATGATCTGATGTAGACTGTGGGCTCTCCTCAGGATGCACAGAATGACAGATGTAGTGTCCTAAGATCACATTAAGACAAATGAATCCAACTTCTAAAAGTCAACTGATTCAAGCAAACAGTGGTTTGGACTTAGTGCTTCTTAAAACATCAAAAGCTTTTGTGTGTGAGTCCTTCACTCAAAAGTAGCATTTTCTGTTTGTAACAAGTCAGTTGTTTTACCTGATTCTGTGCCTCCATAGTGACTAATGATGCTTATGAGTTCATAACGGCCATCACCCTGAGAAGGAACAAATCCAAAGATCAGTTTCATAAAGTCTCACATCAGTGCGATAATTAAGCTGATTCTCTGAGATGTTCTGCAGTCTGTTTTTACCTGTTTGGATGACACCACCAAGTCCCTCTGCAGCCTGACGGGGTCATTCACCTTCTGAAGCTTGTGGGTTTTTGTAAAGCCAAACCTCTTCAGGTGAAAGATGAGAACTCTGGCAGAAAAGAAAAAAAAACCCAAGGTACAAAATAAGAAGAATGAGTGTCAAACACAAACCGAAGATGGGAGAAAATGACTGCTCAAGTGTTGTCTTAAAAACTCTGATGTTTAGTGTGCCACAGTTTGGAAATCAGGTCAGTCGATCAATTCTGATGTGACCTTACTCACCTTGGCAGTGTATCAAAAGACTGCTTCACTTCCGAGGTCGTCCCTCCACAGTCACAGGTAAATTCGATTTTTTGTTCCTAAACAACGGCAAAGAGAAAACAGGCTTTATGGTAGAAAAAAAAAATCACAACCTATGCGCACACACAAGATCAGTGATACTACATCTCTACTGGAATTTGTGATCTTACCTTCAAGTATGTCCCTAACATGTCCTCAACAGACCCCTCTGGAACCAGGTCAAGGGACAAGCTTGTAAATTCCTCCTGTTGTGATGACTGGTGACCGCAGCTACACATTTAAGGAGTAACGTAGTTAAAGTAACGATCAAGTAGGTGGAAAAGAGGTATATGAAAATGTTGCAATCAGCCCTGTGTTTCTGAAAGACTGGCTTACCTCTTGCATGTCCTCATGTTTTCCATTTTGAAAACATGATGGTCTTCTACTGGGCAGGTATAACTTCGGCCCAGGAGAGCTGCTTCCCTCTTCAGGTGAGGTGAGAGGCTTTTCACCTCATTGAGGAAAAAGGTTAGGAATTCATGAGCGTCCTGAAAGAAAAACACAGAGGAGATTTAGAACATAAACATTAGAAGGTAAAGCAAAAAACAAAATGTCCAAATAGCTGACGCACTTTCTGTGCACTGCCTTCGTATTCAGGAACCTGTTGGCTGAATGCCTTCTTAAAAGACATTAGGTGGCGTTTTTTAAGGTCATAATCTCTTGATTCATGACAGTTCCTGATGTTCATGAGCCTTCTGTAAAAAGGAAAGGGTAAACAGACATTTCTGGTGTTAGATATCTTTGTTCTTCAGGTTTCTGAAGAAAGTAGAAGGTTGACGTAGCGCACCTTAAGAGCCGAGCTTCTGGGACTGCTCTCCACAAAGTCTCCTGACGGCTGACATCTCTAATGAACTCCTCATTGTTGAAGAGGCTCTGCAGGCAGGAGTTCATGTAGCAGCTGTTTACAATGTTTGGAAACCTGCCACACATACACAAAGTTTACACTATCAGTGTAAAATAACTCATTTCCACTTTGACAAAGAGAGCTTTGGTCCTCGTGCACCACGTGTACTCACCCGAAGCGGTCCACAGTCTGAACTTTATTTTTCTTTTTTTTTCTATCCTTCAAATTTTTCCCTAAACTATTGCAAAAAGGTAAAAACACAAACACACAATTAGGAAAGATGTCAAGAAGCTAAGCAGTGTATGTGCATGTATGCATGAGCTTTGAAGTTTAAACATTTTGGAGGACGTTTTTCTCTTACATGTCAAACACCTGCTCCAATCCATCCTCTTGTGCCAGAAACTCCATAAGCAAAGTGTCCCAACTCAGGTCTGATGGCTCACTATGTTCAGTGGTGTTTCTAACCTGGTTGGAACTTTCACCACATTCCTTATGGGTGCTGCTGCATGCAGAAAGAAGAAAGGAGTCAGGGATGCATAGCAAGCACAACAGGACAACAAACAAACATTGTCTCTCTGGAGAAAAGCATTCAAACATCTAATTCTTATTGTGATCAGCAATCGGCCAAAATATTAAAAGCACTTACCTGGGATTGTCTGTAGTTATGACCTGTACTAGGTCCTCTGAACTGTTCAGTGGAGGCTTGATGTCCAGTTCTTGGCCTTTTGTTTCTAGGCAGTCTTCTTTTGGTGGTGCTGCCTCAGCAAGTGTACAGTCCTGCTGCATGTTCTTTAATCTGCAAAAATATACAAATATATAGAAGATTAAGTATCAAATCTGCAACCAGAAGGATCCCAAAAGAATTTTTCTTTAAAGTGAGAAGATTAAAGTTTCCCTTACTTGTCACTCTTTTTATCAGGTTCCCCTGTTGTTTCTGGAGCAACCAGTTCTCGACCTTTTGTTTCTAGGCAGTCTTCTTTTGGTGGTGCTGCCTCGGCAGGAGTACAGTCCTGCTGCATGTTCTTTAATCTGCAAAAATATACAAATATATAGAAGATTAAGTATCAAATCTGCAACCAGAAGGATCCCAAAAGAATTTTTCTTTAAAGTGAGAAGATTAAAGTTTCCCTTACTTGTCACTCTTTTTATCAGGTTCCCCTGTTGTTTCTGGAGCAACCAGTTCTCGACCTTTTGTTTCTAGGCAGTCTTCTTTTGGTGGTGCTGCCTCGGCAGGAGTACAGTCCTGCTGCATGTTCTTTAATCTGCAAAAATATACAAATATATAGAAGATTAAGTATCAAATCTGCAACCAGAAGGATCCCAAAAGATTTTTTCTTTAAAGTGAGAAGATTAAAGTTTCCCTTACTTGTCACTCTTTTTATCAGGTTCCCCTGTTGTTTCTGGAGCAACCAGTTCTCGACCTTTTGTTTCTAGGCAGTCTTCTTTTGGTGGTGCTGCCTTGGCAGGTGTACAGTCCTGCTGCATGTTCTTTAATCTGCAAAAATATACAAATATATAGAAGATTAAGTATCAAATCTGCAACCAGAAGGATCCCAAAAGATTTTTTCTTTAAAGTGAGAAGATTAAAGTTTCCCTTACTTGTCACTCTTTTTATCAGGTTCCCCTGTTGTTTCTGGAGCAACCTGATTTCTTCTCTGTAGAAAGAAACCAAAAGACAGGACATAGCTGTGTGCTTCATTGCTCTTAATTGCTCCCATTTCATTGTGATGAATAAATGCTTGATGATAGTGACTCTTTCCATAAAACATACCTTCCAGAATTTGAAAATAGACCAGCGGGACTTTTTCTGTGGCTTTACAGTGGGGGTCTCTGCCTCTGTATCGCTGTCAGTTTCCTGTAGAGAACGAACAAACATAATGTTATTAAAAAAGAAAAGTCACTTAAAATTAACAAATACATTTTAAGGAAAATATGCATTTCATATGTCTTCTGTAAAAGCAAACCGAGAAACAGCAGAAGAAGTGTCTCCATTTTATTTTCTTCTTCTTCTTTATACCATTTTCATGGTTAGGTGTTGTGGCAGCAACAGAAGCATCCGGGACGCTGATCGAGGACAAAAGTGTAAATGTTATTTTTCAAAGTGGAAATTTTTAACAAGGAGCGCATCCTGGATATTGCAAATAAAAAATAATAACTGTTATGAAATACCAAAATGAACAAAATCATGTATTTTGTACATTTACACTCTATATTTTCAACTAATCTCTGAATCGATATAAATAATAGACAAAACTAGAAGTAGTAAAAACGATATAAACACACAAGGCGGAAGAAAAACAACAATAAAAGGGAAATAAAACAGCTCACACTAAACCACTGCTATAAATATCTCCGGCAACATTGGATTAAAGAGTCACATTTCTTTACCTCTGTTGAGACGTAGAAGGAATTTCCTTCTCTGCCACGTTTTGGTTTTTTGATCTCTGTTTAGAAAGAAGAAAACCAACATCAGTAATGGCATAAAACAAACATTCCAAGGGAGGCTCTACATGAAAAGTGTCCAGTTAGAAAATTTGGTATTATTTTAGATTATTTATCAATTTAGTGAGCTATCGACTCATGAAGTGGACCGATATGAATATGTTTAAATAAATTAAAAACAATTTATTCATGCCTCAATTTGAGTTTTAAAGTTTATGGTATGAAATACAAAATACTTCATTTGGTTCAAAATTCAGTTTTTACAAAAATCATCTATGAAGCTCCATTAAAAGCTTCAAAATGCTTATTTACTGTAAGAAAATATACAGAGAAATGTGCTACAAGTCTCGTCAAACTTACCTTTCTGAGAAAAAAGCGTTTGAACATCTTTGAACCTAATTTGATCGCAGTGAAAATCTTCTGTGCTATGCAAAAGTTCAACTGAAAACAAGTTCAATAGTTGTATATTTATAAGCTTTCAGCATAGAATGTTCATACCCTGAACATATGTCATCATAATGTATGGGGCTAGTTTGCATATTTTGGAATGTATGCTCATTGGAACTGTGTGGTACTCGTCTCCAAGCAACCCCACTGTACATGCTTGAAATGTACAGTGCAATGTGCAAAAAATTGCAAAAATAAACAAGACAAGACAGTGCAATGGATATGTGCAAAATGCTGAGTATTGTGCAAAAGTAACTTGGTGTGTGTGTGTGTGTGTGTGTGTGTGTTTTGGTTAGTTTAGTTAATGTTTTACTTCACTCAGTTGTGTTGGTGTTCAGCCATGAGTGTATTTGATGACTTACCAGCAGTTTCTGCTTCTGTTTATGTGACATTATGTACAAGTGGTAGTTCGCTAGCATAACAGATTTGTTTACTAATTAGCTTCTAGGAGAGAGATTCGTTGTTATCGTGTTGTTGATTCTGTGCTCCGTGTAACAGATGATAAACCAATGTACAGTTGCCTTCAGTGCATAGTTGTATGCGGTGTGTTAATGCATAATGTCTGACTTTAAGTTTATGTAACCAGGCTGAAGTATAATGTCAGCTTATTTAGCTATATACTGTACTTGAGTACACCTCAGTTGTATCTTTATGTTTATTATGTAATCTGATTCCTAATTGATTGTATTATTATGCTTTGTCTGCAGAAACCACACATACACACACACACACTCTATCTCGCCCAGCTGCGGGCACATTCTCAATTGAAAATACAAAGAATGACAACTTTATTCCTGGACTCTGCCTGTTTGTTCCTCTCACATCTGAACATTTGCAAGTGTCCTGACCCGACACTCTGAAGTGATTGCTGCCAGCTCAGATTTCTTTAACCCTTCTGAACACCTATGGTACAAATTTGAGCAAACTAGGTGACTTCCTTCCTGTCACCAAGTTGTAACATTCACAAGATTTTCAGAAAACTTGACCTTTGACCTTGAGGTCAAGGTCACTGATATTCAAACTGAATATCAGTAGATGCACCATTGGTATTAATTCAAAATCCTATGCCTCTTGTTCTGGAGTTATTATCTTGACCAAGCTGAGTATACAATTATGAAAGAATTATTTTCCATTTTATTTCACTATCTGTAAATACGGCAAATAAACAGTATTTGTGACAATTACTAGTAAAGCGGTTAGTGAGAATCCACATCTGATTACAGTATAATACACTGCTTATTTATGTAAAATCATCATCAATAAATGTGTTCAAAACAGAAGCTACACTGGCTTTAAAAGTTTTTGTTAACTCTGGCTAGGGCTAGGGCATATCATACCGTTCACAGTAATACTGGTATGATGTTGGGCAACAACAAGAAAATGAAATATCGCGATTAGGGATGGGTACCGGTGTTCTGACATAAACGGTAGTAACCAGACCGAAAAGCAGTGCACATTTCGGTGCTTTATTTCAGTGCTTTTTTTTCCTGAGCTGTGATACACTTCTAGCCAATCATTTTACGTTTCCGAGGATAGTAGGCGGGGCCAGGTACGTACGTTCTTTTATGCAGAGCTACAGATTAAAAATGTCCAAGGCGAAGCGGTCAAAAGTCTGGCTGTACTTCATAGCAAAATATGCAAACTCAGCAGCCTGCAACAAGTGCTTTAAGCTGATACTGTGATACTGTCAAAGGAAGTAACACCTCGAATCCGATGAAACACCTGGCGACGCGTAGCGTTTTTTTTTTAAAAGCCGAGAAATGCGCCGTATTTGATGGCAGCAGCAGCCGTTCTTCTCTGCGTGAGTAGCTTAATGTTGTTTGTGTGTAATTTACGTTGAGTAGGCTAACCACGTTATTACATTAATGCATGTAAGGTGAACTAGCAAACATCATCATAGCTACATGCGGCTGTCTTCTTGGTTGATGGCAGATACTCCCTTCACCCTGGCCAAAAAGGCTAAAATGACCAAAGAAAAAGTGGGAAACAGCTGAACATGAGAGGTTTTTGGACAAGGTTTGTATTTTTTCCATTGTTTAAGCACTGCTTCCAGCTAAGAGTGATACCATATATGCCCCAAAGCTGCAGAAAAGGCTAACATTGTTATCTTTTTACAAAAAACCAGCTGAATATGAGAGGTTTTTGGACCAATTTTGTGTTCTCCATTCTTTAAGCACCGGTTTGAGCACCGTTTGAGCACCGGCACCGTTTCAAAAGTACCGATTTGGCACCGGTATCAGATAAAACCTAAACGATACCCATCCCTAATCGCGATAGAATATGGGTAAAACGCGCATGTGCGGTACCTTTGTTTTCATACGCACATGGTGGAAAAAGCGTGCTGGCGACGGAGAATGAGAAGGGCGAAAGTGGATCGCTGAATGAAACGGATGAACCAGAATTGGTTTGTAAAAATGCTGCAACCTCAGTGGTGTGGAACTGGTTTAGCTTTCGTCCATCAGATACACAACAAAGCACATTTTTGGTAGAGCATGCTAGCAGGCCGTCGTTATTACCGTGTTTTTTGGAAAATACGGCACACTTAAAATCAATCCTTTGATTTTTCTAAAAATCGACAGTGCCCCTTATAATCCCGTGTGCCTTATGAAGATAATGGCACTATGCAATTCGCCCTTTGATCAAATGATGAGAGCTGATAGTCAAATAGTGCGCCCTGACATTTCCACATTTTGTAACGACAGACCATGTTGAGCGTGTCGTGACACTTGTAAAATGGAAGAACACATCTACTTGTTGGTCGCAGAAGAGCCACTGAGAAATGATTTTTTTAGGTGGCTCGTTACAACTCGATGGCTGGTCACCTGGAATAAGATAAGACTCTGGACCCAAAAATTGACCGATTTTACTGGCCAAGAATCTGTTTGGATGTGCGCTGATGTTGTGCGTCCAGTGGTGTCAGCTGGTGAACCAGCTGGCCATTCCAAAAGTGCCTTTATGCCCTTACTGCCCTTAATGGAGGTACCATTTGAGCACATTGGCATGGACCTCATCTGACCATTTTATCGACGAGAAAAAGTAAATCTTTCGTTCAGCTGTTGTTAACTGATCTTGACTTTGTTAATTAAACGTTGTAAACCTGCTTTCAGTGTGTCCTGTACATGAGTTCTTTCAGTAAACCACAGCACGGTGTGTTTTTTGAGCTGATGAAGTTAAGCCAAAACAAGAAACATGCAGCAGGAGACAGTAACTTGTTAAAATGTTTGTGGCGAGAATAAGGCACGGCGGGACCACGGAGTATCATTCGGAGCCATCTTTATTTACATCTCACCACAACAATCCCCAAACCCCCGAGTCCCCGTGTTTTTAACTAGGCGGGCGTGATTAAGGATGCCGTGCAGGTGCGTCCGCCCTCCCTGCACGGCACCGCAGACCACGCCCCACCACATACCCCCATCGCCTGATTGAGGCTGGGGAGCCATCCGGCCGAACCTACTCCCCCACCGCCAGTGGGAGAGGGAATCAGCCCGGACAGCGGGCGCCCCCAGGCCCCGTCCAAGCGACGGGGAGGTGCGAGTTCAGGTGGCCGCCCGTGAATCCAGCGGTGCAGGCCAAGCTGGTTCGGAAGTCGGACGCGTGGCGTGTGCACCCGGCGCGGCCGGCACAGTCGTGAGCCCCAGCTCACAGGTGGCTGGGCAGAGGTGTGGCGTGTACTGGCCTCTGGTGGTGGTGAGGCCGATCTGGTGAGCACGGCGATCTCAAGCGTGGCACACGCCTCGCTCGCCAGTTCCACTCGAGCAGGCTCCCCTGGCACGGGGACCTCCAGCTCCTTGCGCGGTCCATCCGTCACTGCCGTCGCTCCCCGCTGGAGCAGCCCATCGCGCGACTCCTCCGTCACTACTACTCCCTCCGCCGCCGCCTGCTCCCGCTGGGCGGCCGCCATTTCGGCCACCATCTGGGCCAGCTCCTCCATTCCCTGGCTCCGATACGGACCCGCCGTGCTGCCTCCTGGGTTTCGGCACCAATGTGGCGAGAATAAGGCACGGCGGGACCACGGAGTATCATTCGGAGCCATCTTTATTTACATCTCACCACAACAATCCCCAAACCCCTGAGTCCCCGTGTTTTTAACTAGGCGGGCGTGATTAAGGATGCCGTGCAGGTGCGTCCGCCCTCCCTGCACGGCACCGCAGACCACGCCCCACCACAATGTTATAAAAGGTACAATTAAAGATTTTCATGGATTTTTCAAGGATAAATGTCTAATTTGATCAAAAGTTCTATATGCCATTTCTGGAGAGAGTGCAGTGGAAATGTTGTCACTTTTGGACTTTGCTACTTGCAGCTAAACATTTGCAGCTAAATAATGTATAATGTAAGCAGAAACTGCAACTGAATGAGGGAATATTTGTCTAAAAACTTAAACTGAACTAGAAGGGTACCAGTGCTCCAGCTTACCATCTTTACCTGAGTAAATCTGTTTGTTGAACAATCTAAATGGTTGATTCAGAAACTTCTGTGACATCAACTTAACTGAGACTCATTACAAATTTCACAAAACACAGTTGAATACTTAGTTAATTAGTTTTTATTAGTTATTTTTGTTTTTGTTGTTCCGTTAATTTTAATAAAAATAAATAAATAAGTAAATAATTGTCATGGTCCCCGTGCCTGCCCAGCCGGCCTCACAAGGCTACACTTGTGTTTTTTTTCTCTTTCTCCCCCTATCTCTCTGCCTGGGCGGAGCTCACAGCTGGCTCCCGCCCTTGGCTCTCACAGCTGTTGGCGATCAGCTGATTATCCGGCTTCTATTTGAGGCTGGGTCACAGATCCTCTCATCGCGGGATGATTGCGCTACTGACGTTAGTCTACCTTTCCAGCTCCCGTGGTCTTACACCTTTATGCCTTCGTGATTTGTGAGTGATATCTCCCTTTCCCTGTTCCAGCTTATCTTCCCGGACCTGTGACCTCCCCGCGGTACGAACGTGTGTGAGGACGTGAGCGAGCGTGAGAGAGAGAGAGCCTTCCCCTAATCCCCTGGAACCCTGAATTTCCCGTCACTGTATATATTATTGCACGGGTGTGTAAATAAATTGTGTTTTGAGACATCAACCTGCTCTGCGCTTGAGTCCCTGCTTTCAGCCCGTGACAATAATATCTTTATTTTATTTTATTATTAATTTATTTGTTGTTCCCAGAGAGCAAGCCAAACACTGGTCCTGACTATCTCTAGTAGTGGTGCACTACTAGTGAATGACCGGTGAATGTGGGGCGACGGTGGCAAGAAAAAACTCCCTCCTGGAGGAAGAAATCTTGGGAGGAACCAGGCTCTCTGGGAGGACCCTTCCTCCTAAGGGCAATACTTACCAGCGGTCTGAGACGACGGTTGTTCCTTCTCAGCACGATGATGGCTCTAACTTGCTTCCACACCCTGTTTTAGAATGAAGAGAAAAATGATTAACAAGGTAATAGGACATTTCAAAATTCTCTCAGCTGCTGTGTCTTCTTACGTTTCTCTTGTAAAACAGGATGTAGGCAGACTGCTGCTGTTCCTCAAAAACTGCCGATCCAGTTGTGTGGAGCACCCGTGCATCATTATAGGTGAGCCAATGATCTGATGTAGACTGTGGGCTCTCCTCAGGATGCACAGAATGACAGATGTAGTGTCCTAAGATCACATTAAGACAAATGAATCCAACTTCTAAAAGTCAACTGATTCAAGCAAACAGTGGTTTGGACTTAGTGCTTCTTAAAACATCAAAAGCTTTTGTGTGTGAGTCCTTCACTCAAAAGTAGCATTTTCTGTTTGTAACAAGTCAGTTGTTTTACCTGATTCTGTGCCTCCATAGTGACTAATGATGCTTATGAGTTCATAACGGCCATCACCCTGAGAAGGAACAAATCCAAAGATCAGTTTCATAAAGTCTCACATCAGTGCGATAATTAAGCTGATTCTCTGAGATGTTCTGCAGTCTGTTTTTACCTGTTTGGATGACACCACCAAGTCCCTCTGCAGCCTGACGGGGTCATTCACCTTCTGAAGCTTGTGGGTTTTTGTAAAGCCAAACCTCTTCAGGTGAAAGATGAGAACTCTGGCAGAAAAGAAAAAAAAAACCCAAGGTACAAAATAAGAAGAATGAGTGTCAAACACAAACCGAAGATGGGAGAAAATGACTGCTCAAGTGTTGTCTTAAAAACTCTGATGTTTAGTGCGCCACAGTTTGGAAATCAGGTCAGTCGATCAATTCTGATGTGACCTTACTCACCTTGGCAGTGTATCAAAAGACTGCTTCAATTCCGAGGTCGTCCCTCCACAGTCACAAGTAAATTCGATTTTTTGTTCCTAAACAACGGCAAAGAGAAAACAGGCTTTATGGTAGAAAAAAAAAAATCACAACCTATGCACACACACAAGATCAGTGATACTACATCTCTACTGGAATTTGTGATCTTACCTTCAAGTATGTCCCTAACATGTCCTCAACAGACCCCTCTGGAACCAGGTCAAGGGACAAGCTTGTAAATTCCTCCTGTTGTGATGACTGGTGACCGCAGCTACACATTTAAGGAGTAACGTAGTTAAAGTAACGATCAAGTAGGTGGAAAAGAGGTATATGAAAATGTTGCAATCAGCCCTGTGTTTCTGAAAGACTGGCTTACCTCTTGCATGTCCTCATGTTTTCCATTTTGAAAACATGATGGTCTTCTACTGGGCAGGTATAACTTCGGCCCAGGAGAGCTGCTTCCCTCTTCAGGTGAGGTGAGAGGCTTTTCACCTCATTGAGGAAAAAGGTTAGGAATTCATGAGCGTCCTGAAAGAAAAACACAGAGGAGATTTAGAACATAAACATTAGAAGGTAAAGCAAAAAACAAAATGTCCAAATAGCTGACGCACTTTCTGTGCACTGCCTTCGTATTCAGGAACCTGTTGGCTGAATGCCTTCTTAAAAGACATTAGGCGGCGTTTTTTAAGGTCATAATCTCTTGATTCATGACAGTTCCTGATGTTCATGAGCCTTCTGTAAAAAGGAAAGGGTAAACAGACATTTCTGGTGTTAGATATCTTTGTTCTTCAGGTTTCTGAAGAAAGTAGAAGGTTGACGTAGCGCACCTTAAGAGCCGAGCTTCTGGGACTGCTCTCCACAAAGTCTCCTGACGGCTGACATCTCTAATGAACTCCTCATTGTTGAAGAGGCTCTGCAGGCAGGAGTTCATGTAGCAGCTGTTTACAATGTTTGGAAACCTGCCACACATACACAAAGTTTACACTATCAGTGTAAAATAACTCATTTCCACTTTGACAAAGAGAGCTTTGGTCCTCGTGCACCACGTGTACTCACCCGAAGCGGTCCACAGTCTGAACTTTATTTTTCTTTTTTTTTCTATCCTTCAAATTTTTCCCTAAACTATTGCAAAAAGGTAAAAACACAAACACACAATTAGGAAAGATGTCAAGAAGCTAAGCAGTGTATGTGCATGTATGCATGAGCTTTGAAGTTTAAACATTTTGGAGGACGTTTTTCTCTTACATGTCAAGCACCTGCTCCAATCCATCCTCTTGTGCCAGAAACTCCATAAGCAAAGTGTCCCAACTCAGGTCTGATGGCTCACTATGTTCAGTGGTGTTTCTAACCTGGTTGGAACTTTCACCACATTCCTTATGGGTGCTGCTGCATGCAGAAAGAAGAAAGGAGTCAGGGATGCATAGCAAGCACAACAGGACAACAAACAAACATTGTCTCTCTGGAGAAAAGCATTCAAACATCTAATTCTTATTGTGATCAGCAATCGGCCAAAATATTAAAAGCACTTACCTGGGATTGTCTGTAGTTATGACCTGTACTAGGTCCTCTGAACTGTTCAGTGGAGGCTTGATGTCCAGTTCTTGGCCTTTTGTTTCTAGGCAGTCTTCTTTTGGTGGTGCTGCCTCAGCAAGTGTACAGTCCTGCTGCAGGTTCTTTAATCTGCAAAAATATACAAATATATAGAAGATTAAGTATCAAATCTGCAACCAGAAGGATCCCAAAAGATTTTTTCTTTAAAGTGAGAAGATTAAAGTTTCCCTTACTTGTCACTCTTTTTATCAGGTTCCCCTGTTGTTTCTGGAGCAACCAGTTCTCGACCTTTTGTTTCTAGGCAGTCTTCTTTTGGTGGTGCTGCCTCGGCAGGAGTACAGTCCTGCTGCAGGTTCTTTAATCTGCAAAAATATACAAATATATAGAAGATTAAGTATCAAATCTGCAACCAGAAGGATCCCAAAAGAATTTTTCTTTAAAGTGAGAAGATTAAAGTTTCCCTTACTTGTCACTCTTTTTATCAGGTTCCCCTGTTGTTTCTGGAGCAACCAGTTCTCGACCTTTTGTTTCTAGGCAGTCTTCTTTTGGTGGTGCTGCCTCGGCAGGTGTACAGTCCTGCTGCATGTTCTTTAATCTGCAAAAATATACAAATATATAGAAGATTAAGTATCAAATCTGCAACCAGAAGGATCCCAAAAGAATTTTTCTTTAAAGTGAGAAGATTAAAGTTTCCCTTACTTGTCACTCTTTTTATCAGGTTCCCCTGTTGTTTCTGGAGCAACCAGTTCTCGACCTTTTGTTTCTAGGCAGTCTTCTTTTGGTGGTGCTGCCTCGGCAGGAGTACAGTCCTGCTGCAGGTTCTTTAATCTGCAAAAATATACAAATATATAGAAGATTAAGTATCAAATCTGCAACCAGAAGGATCCCAAAAGATTTTTTCTTTAAAGTGAGAAGATTAAAGTTTCCCTTACTTGTCACTCTTTTTATCAGGTTCCCCTGTTGTTTCTGAAGCAACCAGTTCTCGACCTTTTGTTTCTAGGCAGTCTTCTTTTGGTGGTGCTGCCTCGGCAGGTGTACAGTCCTGCTGCATGTTCTTTAATCTGCAAAAATATACAAATATATAGAAGATTAAGTATCAAATCTGCAACCAGAAGGATCCCAAAAGAATTTTTCTTTAAAGTGAGAAGATTAAAGTTTCCCTTACTTGTCACTCTTTTTATCAGGTTCCCCTGTTGTTTCTGGAGCAACCTGATTTCTTCTCTGTAGAAAGAAACCAAAAGACAGGACATAGCTGTGTGCTTCATTGCTCTTAATTGCTCCCATTTCATTGTGATGAATAAATGCTTGATGATAATGACTCTTTCCATAAAACATACCTTCCAGAATTTGAAAATAGACCAGCGGGACTTTTTCTGTGGCTTTACAGTGGGGGTCTCTGCCTCTGTATCGCTGTCAGTTTCCTGTAGAGAACGAACAAACATAATGTTATTAAAAAAGAAAAGTCACTTAAAATTAACAAATACATTTTAAGGAAAATATGCATTTCATATGTCTTCTGTAAAAGCAAACCGAGAAACAGCAGAAGAAGTGTCTCCATTTTATTTTCCTCTTCTTCTTTATACCATTTTCATGGTTAGGTGTTGTGGCAGCAACAGAAGCATCCGGGACGCTGATCGAGGACAAAAGTGTAAATGTTATTTTTCAAAGTGGAAATTTTTAACAAGGAGCGCATCCTGGATATTGCAAATAAAAAATAATAACTGTTATGAAATACCAAAATGAACAAAATCATGTATTTTGTACATTTACACTCTATATTTTCAACTAATCTCTGAATCGATATAAATAATAGACAAAACTAGAAGTAGTAAAAACGATATAAACACACAAGGCGGAAGAAAAACAACAATAAAAGGGAAATAAAACAGCTCACACTAAACCACTGCTATAAATATCTCCGGCAACATTGGATTAAAGAGTCACATTTCTTTACCTCTGTTGAGACGTAGAAGGAATTTCCTTCTCTGCCACGTTTTGGTTTTTTGATCTCTGTTTAGAAAGAAGAAAACCAACATCAGTAATGGCATAAAACAAACATTCCAAGGGAGGCTCTACATGAAAAGTGTCCAGTTAGAAAATTTGGTATTATTTTAGATTATTTATCAATTTAGTGAGCTATCGACTCATGAAGTGGACCGATATGAATATGTTTAAATAAATTAAAAACAATTTATTCATGCCTCAATTTGAGTTTTAAAGTTTATGGTATGAAATACAAAATACTTCATTTGGTTCAAAATTCAGTTTTTACAAAAATCATCTATGAAGCTCCATTAAAAGCTTCAAAATGCTTATTTACTGTAAGAAAATATACAGAGAAATGTGCTACAAGTCTCGTCAAACTTACCTTTCTGAGAAAAAAGCGTTTGAACATCTTTGAACCTAATTTGATCGCAGTGAAAATCTTCTGTGCTATGCAAAAGTTCAACTGAAAACAAGTTCAATAGTTGTATATTTATAAGCTTTCAGCATAGAATGTTCATACCCTGAACATATGTCATCATAATGTATGGGGCTAGTTTGCATATTTTGGAATGTATGCTCATTGGAACTGTGTGGTACTCGTCTCCAAGCAACCCCACTGTACATGCTTGAAATGTACAGTGCAATGTGCAAAAAATTGCAAAAATAAACAAGACAAGACAGTGCAATGGATATGTGCAAAATGCTGAGTATTGTGCAAAAGTAACTTGGTGTGTGTGTGTGTGTGTGTGTGTGTGTGTGTGTGTGTGTGTGGGGAGCAGGGCGATATGACCAAAAATATTTATCACGATATACATTTGAAAATTTGCGATAACGATATAACTGACGATATAACTGACACTAGACAAAATACTTTACAACTCCACAACTATTTTAGTGCAAAAAAACCATCAATGTATTTTCACTTAAACAAGCAGCTGTTTTTATGTGCATTAAAGTTATATAAAAATGTAACAATGCAAATTCCTTGCTGACAGTTTAACCAAAAGGCATTTCCAGTGGAAATTGGCCGACATATCCTGAGCATAACAATGTATAATATCCACTAAACTTAAAAAGAGGTTATACACACACAATACAGTAATATTATGTTGAAGCACAGTACGTATCACTCCGCGAGGCGCCTGCCTAATATAGCCGTAATGCTCCACTTTCGCTCTTCTCATTCTGTGTCGCCGCCATGTGCCTATGTAAACATAGGCACTGCGCATGCGCGTTTTACCCATATTCTATCACGATATTTCATTTTCCTATCGTTGCCCAAAATTACACCGGTATTACCGTGAACGGTATGATATAGCCCAGCCCTATATGTGTGTGTGTGTGTGTGTGTGTGTGTGTGTGTGAGATACTGCAGATAAGTGCTTGGTAGCGATGTGTGAAGGTGTGTGTGTGTGTGTATCAGTCCAGTCACTGAGTGTTCAGGAGTCTGACGGCTTGCTGGTACCTCTTTCGAGAAGGCAGCAGGGTGAAGAGTGTGTGAGGTCCTCCATAATGCTGGTGGCTTTGCGGATGGAGCGGGTGCTAAAAGTGTCCATGATGGAGGGGAGAGGGGCTCCAATGATCTTCTCAGCTGCTCTCACTATTAGTTGTAGGGTACTGCGATCTGATACGGTGCAGTTACCATACTAGATAGTGATGCAGCTGCTCAGGACGCTCTCGATAATCCCTCTGTAGAAGGTGGTGAGAATGGATGGTGAGAGATGGGCTTTCCTCAGCTTCCGCAAGAAGTAGAGATGCTGTTGGGCCTCCTTAGTTATGGAGCTTGGGTTAAGGGACCAGAAAAGGTTCTCCGCCAGGTGGACATCAAGGAATTTGGTGCTCTTGACGACCTCCAAAGAGGATCCAGTGATGTTAAGTGGGAAGTGAGCTCTCTGTGCTCTCCTGAAGTCAACAATCATCTCTTTTGTTTTGTCCACGTTCACAGACAGGTTGTTGACCCTACATCTCTACAGATGGCCCCTAGCGCAACCCTTCAGCCTACTAGTAATTGCACCTATTGTACAAAAGGGTTAGGGTTGTGTATGGGATTTCCTATGCCCCCTGAATGCACCATCGGGGTGCATGTCCGCAACTTTAGTTCAGAGACAAACGGCAGCCAAACAACGGACAGTGTGTGCGTTCATAAGACCGTAAGTTAATGTTTTACTTCACTCAGTTGTGTTGGTGTTCAGCCATGAGTGTATTTGATGACTTACCAGCAGTTTCTGCTTCTGTTTATGTGACATTATGTACAAGTGGTAGTTCGCTAGCATAACAGATTTGTTTACTAATTAGCTTCTAGGAGAGAGATTCGTTGTTATCGTGTTGTTGATTCTGTGCTCCGTGTAACAGATGATAAACCAATGTACAGTTGCCTTCAGTGCATAGTTGTATGCGGTGTGTTAATGCATAATGTCTGACTTTAAGTTTATGTAACCAGGCTGAAGTATAATGTCAGCTTATTTAGTTATATACTGTACTTGAGTACACCTCAGTTGTATCTTTATGTTTATTATGTAATCTGATTCCTAATTGATTGTATTATTATGCTTTGTCTGCAGAAACCACACATACACACACACACACTCTATCTCGCCCAGCTGCGGGCACATTCTCAATTGAAAATACAAAGAATGACAACTTTATTCCTGGACTCTGCCTGTTTGTTCCTCTCACATCTGAACATTTGCAAGTGTCCTGACCCGACACTCTGAAGTGATTGCTGCCAGCTCAGATTTCTTTAACCCTTCTGAACACCTATGGTACAAATTTGAGCAAACTAGGTGACTTCCTTCCTGTCACCAAGTTGTAACATTCACAAGATTTTCAGAAAACTTGACCTTTGACCTTGAGGTCAAGGTCACTGATATTCAAACTGAATATCAGTAGATGCACCATTGGTATTAATTCAAAATCCTATGCCTCTTGTTCTGGAGTTATTATCTTGACCAAGCTGAGTATACAATTATGAAAGAATTATTTTCCATTTTATTTCACTATCTGTAAATACGGCAAATAAACAGTATTTGTGACAATTACTAGTAAAGCGGTTAGTGAGAATCCACATCTGATTACAGTATAATACACTGCTTATTTATGTAAAATCATCATCAATAAATGTGTTCAAAACAGAAGCTACACCGGCTTTAAAAGTTTTTGTTAACTCTGGCTAGGGCTAGGGCATATCATACCGTTCACAGTAATACTGGTATGATGTTGGGCAACAATATCGCGATTAGGGATGGGTACCGGTGTTAACCAGACCGAAAAGCAGCGCACATTTCGGTGCTTTATTTCGGTGCTTTTTTTTCCTGAGCTGTGATACACTTCTAGCCAATCATTTTACGTTTCCGAGGATAGTAGGCAGGGCCAGGTACGTACGTTCTTTTATGCAGAGCTACAGATTAAAAATGTCCAAGGCGAAGCGGTCAAAAGTCTGGCTGTACTTCATAGCAAAATATGCAAACTCAGCAGCCTGCAACAAGTGCTTTAAGCTGATACTGTGATACTGTCAAAGGAAGTAACACCTCGAATCCGATGAAACACCTGGCGACGCGTAGCGTTTTTTTTTTAAAAGCCGAGAAATGCGCCGTATTTGATGGCAGCAGCAGCCGTTCTTCTCTGCGTGAGTTGCTTAATGTTGTTTGTGTGTAATTTACGTTGAGTAGGCTAACCACGTTATTACATTAATGCATGTAAGGTGAACTAGCAAACATCATCATAGCTACATGCGGCTGTCTTCTTGGTTGATGGCAGATACTCCCTTCACCCTGGCCAAAAAGGCTAAAATGACCAAAGAAAAAGAGGGAAACAGCTAAACATGAGAGGTTTTTGGACAAGGTTTGTATTTTTTCCATTGTTTAAGCACTGCTTCCAGCTAAGAGTGATACCATATATGCCCCAAAGCTGCAGAAAAGGCTAACATTGTTATCTTTTTACAAAAAACCAGCTGAATATGAGAGGTTTTTGGACCAATTTTGTGTTCTCCATTCTTTAAGCACCGGTTTGAGCACCGTTTGAGCACCGGCACCGTTTCAAAAGTACCGATTTGGCACCGGTATCAGATAAAACCTAAACGATACCCATCCCTAATCGCGATAGAATATGGGTAAAACGCGCATGCGCAGTACCTTTGTTTTCATACGCACATGGTGGAAAAAGCGTGCTGGCGACGGAGAATGAGAAGGGCGAAAGTGGATCGCTGAATGAAACGGATGAACCAGAATTGGTTTGTAAAAATGCTGCAACCTCAGTGGTGTGGAACTGGTTTAGCTTTCGTCCATCAGATACACAACAAAGCACATTTTTGGTAGAGCATGCTAGCAGGCCGTCGTTATTACCGTGTTTTTTGGAAAATACGGCACACTTAAAATCAATCCTTTGATTTTTCTAAAAATCGACAGTGCCCCTTATAATCCCGTGTGCCTTATGTATGAATCCTGGTTGTGTTTACTGACCTCGAAACGATTTTATTTGCACTGTTACATTTTTATATAGCTTTAATGCACATAAAAAACAGCTGCTTGTTTAAGTGAACATACATTGATTGGGTTTCTTTTGCACTAATAA